GCAACTGGCTAGCCGAAATGCCTAATTGAAGTGGTTAAGATTCAGGGTTCAGCGTTTCTGCTCATGCTGCTTTAAACCCTAAGCCCCAAGGCATCCAAGCCGTACACCCTAAACCCTTACAGTCCTATACCTCCCTGCACATCCTTACATGCCCTATATAACTATATACCCCAAAATATCTCGGGTTCTATACGGTCTTCTGAACCAAACTTCCTGAATCCTGAAGCTCGGACCTCGCTGGTGTACGCGTAGGCATGCCAGCCCCAACGACCAGCAGAAAGCACACCCAGGAACTGAACTCGTTAAAGGAGCCCTGGGCCTGCACTTCTAACAGTGAGAGTTAGAACAATAGAGATGTGGTAAAAAGGAAAAAAAACTATTAATGGTACTGGTAATAGCACAAACATTATTAATAATGATGCCTATGATAGTAGCGGTAATCAATTGATAGTAATCTTCTGCGCGTACTAGTAAGATTAACAGGACGACGGGCTTTGGGAATACGTTTAGGGCTGAAGGCTCGGGACCTGGGAAGCCTGGGAAGTTTGGAGATTGGGAGGTCCAGGAAGGTGTAGGTGCAGGGTGCAGAGCCAGCATGTAGGAAGTTAAGGGTGTAGGTTGCCGAGCCGTCTCGGCTTGAGGGTCTTGAGGGTCCAGGGCTTGAGGCTTTTTGACCCGACAGAACACGCCGAACGTCAACAAAAACAACGCCTCAAGCGGCCTCGCTGCTTTCCTCATAGCAGGGAAGATGCCAATTGCAGGTGCCAGGGTGCGGAGGCCCGCGGCAGGACATGATAGCGCTGGCGCAAACATGTCCCTGTGTTTGGCTGGACAAATAGTACATTGGGGTTATATGGGGATAATGGACCAGAAAATGGAAACTGCTATGGTTCGTTATGGCTTGAGGATCAAGGTTTGTTTGGCATGCAGGGGTCCGGGAAGATGTACGCAAGATGTGGCCTAGATGCAAGCTCAGTATTAGCCCCTCATAGGCAGAGCACCTAGTGCTTAGGGATTCAAACCAAGAAGCCTAACTGGTTGGAAGCCCTCTTACTTTTCAAGTCTGCGGCGTCTCTATCGTAAGCGAGCAAGCTCGACTCTTCAAAGGAGTGCTGCGGCAGAATGATTCATGGTTGGGCTTAGGGTGCTACAGTTAAGACACAGGAGAGACCTGGGTTGTAAAGCTAGACATAAGACTGCTGTGCGTGGACGGAATCTTGCACCGCCTTCTTTGCCCATTGCCCTAGGAATTGCATGTTTTTCATAAGAAGCGCAGGATTTGCTTATCTTTCGAAATTGTCCCGCTTCCCGACCTAGGTACCCTCAACACAATGCAAAAGGCTTTGGCATCGTCACCTCTAATCGTGAGGCTTCGGCTCAGAAACCCATTAGCTTTAACAAGAAAGCGTCAAGCTCCTTTCAATCAGCACAGCTATTCCACGTGATGACAGTCCTTTCCATAGCTGGATGCCCAAATTTCCCAAATGAGGGTCTCTGCAACGAACACCCCGCACCACAGAATCTGAACACAATATTCTAAATACAGGAACCTCACATGCAGTTCACATTATCTTAAAGCTACACCCGACACCCCAAACCATGGCTTCAAAGCCTTCAAACCTGACACTCAAACCCTACACCCAATCTCTCAAACTTGAACATCAGGCACCACACCCCTAAGCCTAAAATGACCGAGTGTTAACTTAAACTAGGAAGCCACCAGGCACCGTTTACGTAAACGGGAGCTCATCAGGCTTTATGGGAGTCCCTGTCAGGAATTCTAGAAGGTTTAGGCTTTAGGGTCTACGGTTTAGGGTTTAGGGTCTAGGGTTTAGACCCTAGGATTTAGGGTTTCAGGTTAGGGGTCTACATAAATGCCTAGACCCCAAAACCTAAATCCATGGTAGCTCCCATAAGGGGACCCCAATATATACCCCAAAATACTATAATCCTGGTTTAGGGTTTAAGGCTATGAAAAAACGCCCAACTAATGACTGAAGCGTCCTTGGGCGTCAAATGCATCATGGCGGCTTCGGGAGCCTTTTCTGCATCTTGCTTTCGGTGGGGTCTTGCGTTTAGGGTTTGGGGTTTGGGGTTTTGGGGTGTTAGATTATGATTATTCTTCTTAGTTTCTTTTCAGTCTGGATATACATAAGGGGTGTGAGTGCAGGGTTTTGGGGGTTTGGGGGTTTTGAGGTTGAGAGTTTAGGGCGGTGGGCTTGAAATATGGGTTTCGGAACCTGGGATACTCCTTTGTGGTTGATGCGTGCTTGCTTTTTCCGACTAGCTAACTGGTTTTTAGTAGGGAATAAGGGAATACAACCGAGATTTTTTCTCCCCATATAATATGCTCCCATATTCATCCTGGGCCCTGATTGTCCCATATCAGTAAGGGATGCATAATAACCCTATTGTGTTTATCTGCCCTTAATATGACCCGTATTATAGACTGTACATGGCTGAGGGCAGTATGTACCAAAATTGCACAACACACCCAAAAAGTGGTTCATGTCCAATACAGCCGTCATGACAAGGGACACCCATGTACTAGGTTCCCTTTTGGTAAATGCGCCTGCTTAAGTAAACAGTAAAGCCGCACGGAACTGGGGTCAACAGTCAACAGGGTGGGATGCTCAGGAAAACTTGCTATGGTCTATGTTACTCACTCCCTAAATAGTATTTCCATTTTATTTCCATTATCCCTATATAAATTACCCCAAATCCCCTAGAAAATCGACCCCCTAAGCTCTCAAACTTAATTCTGCCCCTTTCAGCGAGCTGAAGAACTTATTGGGTTCAACCCGAAGCTAAAGGCCCGGACCCGAAACTCCAAAAAAAACTCAAGTCTCCATGGTATTACCTGAACCCTACTCCGCCTACACCACAGCTCCAGCAAAATTGCGACAATTACTGTTATTTCTACGATTGTTACTATTTTTATTGCAGTTAACATTTTATTGGCCAGCCTCCTTCTCGGTGGTGATCTTGATCGGGATTGGATGCTCCACGTAAGGAGTGATCTTCTCCACATTGACCTTCACTCGGTGCAGGGTTGAAGGCTTAGGGAGCTAAGGCCAGTATTTGGGAGTCGAATGAACATGGAGGCCTTGGCACACTTAATTGGTTTACTGGGTTGCTGTTAAGGAACTTAATTTAAGTTACTATATTGGGGAAACCCTATTATTTACTATATATACTCATTATGGTAACTTATATTAAGTTCCTTAACAGCAACCCAGTTAATTGGTTTAGGGTGTGTGGGCTTAGGTTTGGTTTGTGATGTAGGGTTTAGGGCTTGTGCAGCGCAACGAGCTAGCTAGGGGCATGCCTACCTGCGGAAACCCAAACCCAAATGTGTTGCTATCTGTGACCGCTATTTACATATAAGCTTGTTCTGCTGTGGCACCCACTGCTTCTGCAACTTGTGTTCACTTACTCTTGCTGTCAAAGTCAGCAGCAGCACCATGATCATCATTACCATTCCACTTGATCAGCAGCACATTATCTTTGCACATAACCTGCTGCAATCACGTCCCTTCCTTCTGAGCTCCCCGACACCCGCCGCGTAGTTCCTTCGCTGACCGTACTGATCTTCCTTGAGGAATGGAGCATCCCACCTCGGCAAATTACAGAATGAGGGCTTGTTGCAGAATGAGGGTTTAGTCTCCCTAAAGCAAACAGACATGTAAGTACTCCCGTAATCCCTATATCAACCCACATACCCCCCTATAGAATGTATTCCCTTGTTCCCTACTAAACCCAAAGAAAAGGGTGTTTGTCTTAAGCTCATGGCCAACAGACCCCAATGCAATGGTGCCATCTCCAAGGCTTCTTTCGGCCCTGTGAATTGTGGCATCGGCAAGGCAATATTAGGAAGCCCAACATATATGTAAAGGTGGTTAAGGATAACAGCTACAATACTAACAATGGTACCACTAGGAATGATAGAAATAATAACCATCATAATGCTAAGTTTGCTGATCTTCCTGCAGGATTTCAGCGTATCCTCTGGCCCCAAGCAAGAACACACTCTACCTCCGAAAGCCCGGGATTGCGCGGATCTACTGGGCATTATGTGGGGCTTTAAAATGTGAACAAGATGCCTAGGCAGCTGTGAGGATCTACGAGGACTGCCCACAAACCAGGATTTCACATCTTTCACGAAGCTCGGGGCGGTGGTTCTGACGACAAGATTCCCTACATGAGTAGTGCTTTTTTTGGTGGTTGAACCCAGTAAGCTTATATTCCTTATATAAAAATTCTATACCCCAAAAGGAGGATAGGATCTTACTCTATAATGGGTACCATAGTATCCCCCAAAAAAAATACTACTCACATGCGACCTTCCAAGCAATGAAATGATGTTTCCGGTTTCCATTTCATGTTCCATTTACTGTTCTATTTGATTCTCCATTATTGGGTGTAAACATCCCTAAACCCTAAGCCCTAAGCCCTAGGCCTTGAACCCTAAACCCTAAACCCTGAGGCGGCAGCCACTCAACCTCTGGGATGGGCTCTCTCCTGGTGGAAAGGACTGGAATTTAGAGAAAGAAACACGTTTTTGCGAAACAACAGTCATGTTGAGGGTTTAGGGTCAGGGCTTAGGGCGCAGGGTGTAAGGGTTCAGAATTGCAAGGAACCGCTCGGGAAACAAGAACATCCTATGGACCTGTTTGGGTGGCAAGAACCAGGCGTCTTGTCTAGGCGATTGGGCCTCGAAGTCTCAATGCACATGAGGGCTACAAGAACGTTGCAAGTTCAAATTCGAAATGCAGCTCTCAGACCTACAACCCTTAACCCTAAAACCCTGAAGCCCCTAAACCCCTAAAATGCCTGAAAGCCTGAAACCAGAAACCTCCTAAGAACCATATACTTGAAACATTAAACCCCCCGCTGGGTCCTCATAACTTTCGGCTCGATCTTCTTAACTGGCTGCTCCTTTTCCTGTGTGCTTGGGACTCAGGGCTCACGGCTTAGAGACTAGGATTCGGGCTCAGGAATGGATACCTCAGTCTGAGCGCGCTCCCCATCCCCAAACTAGATCCCAAGTAGACCTGGTTTGGGCTTTGTTGTTGGAATCGGCTGCGTTTCTCATAGGTGCATACCTCTATCTGCCTGTCTCTACGAGACTGTGTATGTATGTATGTATGTATGTATGTATCTATGCATGTATCTATGTATGTATGTATGTATGTATGTATGTATCTATCTATGTATGTATGTATGTATGTAGGTATGTAGGTATGTATGTATGTACGCATGTATGTATGTATGTATGTATGTACGATTATGTATGATTATGTATGATTATGTGTGATTATGCGTGATTATG